CTAAAAAACGTGTAACAAATGCTTTTGCTAAGATTTTTAATAATCTTAATGTAAATTTTTTGAATTAAATCATGAATTATGATATCAGTTTTTTAACTGATAACACTAAATTGATAAAGTAGTCAACGGGAACATGGCCGCCACGTTTTTGTTTAAATTAAAAGTGTCCCTTTATGATTTAATCTATTCTGTGCTATTAATAGACCTATAGTGTCCAACGACAACAAAAGGCCTGGCGGCAACATGAGGCGCTGTCCGAGCGGGAAAGCGGTGAGTGGTGGGAACGTCAGCCAACACTGGTGAGAGAGCAGTTGCACCTTCATAGGGGCGCGAACAAAATAATATAATACCACAGATTATATAAAATTATATAATAATTATATATATATATATAATCTATGATAAAACGGACGATTAGTGCTTACGTCATACACGTTATCAAATCCTATCAATGAATCCGTTGGATCCAAACAAAAACTATTGCAATGTATTAATATTTTAATTACAGTTACACGTTTTTTAAGTTGAATTGTTTAGCTTTATAAATTCTTAAGGTTTGTGTGTACTAATTCACTGTGCATAGTTAATTTACACTGCTTGCAACCCTATTTTTGCTAAGCTTTTCAGATTGCTCACAGTTTAATCACGTATTGTTAAAATTGTATAATWTAAATTATATAACTATTAATTAATAGCAATTTTGCATTATATACAGATGCTATTGTTTAAATAAGGTTTAWACTGTGTATTCGGTTGTGCTTATTACACTGAAAATAGTCCTTGTAGCTTATATCGCTTTCCAAAAGAATTAAAATCAAGAAGATATTGGACAAAATTAATAAGGTAGTGTTGGGCCTATATCTTTAATAAAATTATTTTATTTGGTAGTAAAAGTATTGGTAATAATAATATTAAAACAAATTTAATTTGTATATAGTGGACAATTTTCTATGATAACTGTAAAATTATAAATAAAATGTTGTGTAAAAATTTTCAAACTGATTTTGTCAATAAAAGTTTGTACCTACTACCTAGGTACTTCAAATAGTCGTGTCCAACATTGCTTAAAAGTTATGTTTGTAACTATGACATAATTCTGCAACTTTTTTTCTACTAAATGCAAATCATCATTATTATTAATTTTTAAAATATGTAGCTTCAACATATTTGTATTATATTATTGACACCAATTKACTTCATTCCAACTTGTTTAGATTCTGCCTATAAGCCTTTACTTATGTTTTATATTATGTCCTATAGATTATGGGTATTAAAAATAGTTAGGGTTGCTTGAAATATTTATATAATTTTAAGTATTTTTCATCATTTAACTATACAACTTTTGGGTTTAAAAATGAAAAAAATCATATTTATTATTTTAGAAGGACAGATGAGCCTAAATCAGGTGCTCGTGTGTGCAGTTACCACTTTCAAGGTGGAAATAAATTAAATGGTCCTACTATACTTCCTCATCGTTTAAACCAATTTGACATTCATCATCTTATTACACCAGAAAAGAAAAAGACCCGCAAGAACTCTCCAAAATTTATTATGAACAAAGAGACAGAAAATAAAATTGTTTGTGCACCGTCTCCGTTCCAACGGCCGCRGCGCGGCGGGCATCGAATCTTGTGATGGGGGGCATCACCTACATCGCGTAAGCCGAGCGCCCCGCGCCCAAGGTTAATATAATTAGAAGGTTCGCTTATCG